GTGCGTTCACTGTCAGTTTGTTTGTGGTGCGTTCACTGTCTGTTTGTGGTGCGTTCACTGTCTGTTTGTGGTGCGTTCACTGTCTGTTTGTTGTGCGTCCACCGTCTGTTTGTTTGTGGTGCATTCACTGTCAGTTTGTTTGTGGTGCGTTCACTGTCAGTTTGTTTGAGGTGCGTTCACTGTCTGTTTGTGGTGTGATGTGTTCACTGTCTGTTTGTGGTGCGTTCACTGTCAGTTTGTTTGTGGTGCATTCACTGTCAGTTTGTTTGTGGTGCGTTCACTGTCTGCTTGTGACGTGATGTGTTCACTGTCTGTTTGTGGTGTGATGTGTTCACTGTCTGTTTGTGGTGCTTTCACTGTCAGTTTGTGTTGCGTTCACTGTCAGTTTGTTTGTGGTGCGTTCACTGTCTGTCTCTGGTGCGTTCACTGTCTGTCTCTGGTGCGTTCACTGTCTGTTTGTTGTGCGTTCACTGTCTGTTTGTTTGTGGTGCGTTCACTGTCTGTTTGTTTGTGGTGCGTTCACTGTCTGCTTGTTTGTGGTGCGTTCACTGTCTGTTTTTTGTGGTGCTTTCACTGTCAGTTTGTGGTGCGTTCACTGTCTGTTTGTGGTGCGTTCACTGTCTGTTTGTGGTGCGTTCACTGTCTGTTTGTTTTTGGTGCGTTCACTGTCTGTTTGTTTGTGGTGCGTTTACTGTCTGTTTGTTTGTGGTGCGTTCACTGTCTGTTTGTTTGTGGTGCGTTCACTGTCAGTTTGTTTGTGGTGCGTTCACTGTCTGTTTGTTTGTGGTGCGTTCACTGTCAGTTTGTGGTGCGTTCACTGTCAGTTTGCTTGTGGTGCGTTCACTGTCTGTTTGTGGTGCGTTCACTGTCTGTTTCTTCCTGCAGATGGTGGCCTACAGCCTCCTGTGGGATCTCAAGTTCCTTATGAGGTGAGTCAGATAAGGCCACGCCCCTCCACACCTGTTCGTTCAGTCAGCAGGTGTGTAACTCCTCCCCTTTCCTTCAGGAACCTGGCTCTGGGCGGCGGCCTGCTCCTCCTCCTCGCTGAGTGCCGACAGGAAGCTCGCAGCGTGTTCGCCGGCGTTCCGTCCGTCTCTCAGCGTCAGTCTCCAAAACATCTGCTGCAGCTGGGAGGAAGAGTTCTCCTCATCCTCATGTTCATGACGCTGCTGCACCTGGAGCTGAGCGCGCTCAGTGTGAGTGTCGCACGCACACAGGAAGTACTCAGAATACAAAATAAAAGATTAACAGAGCTGAACGACAGCTGAAACCTGCCAAAGGAGCCGAAACTGAATTAGCAGAAAACAAAGTGCTACCTAAAGTAGCTAAAATCTAAAAGCATCAAATGGCTAATATGAGCTAAAAGCATCATAGCTATAAGCTAAAAACATCTAATGGCTAATGAGCTAAAAGCACCAAAATGCCATCTAAATGCTAAAAGTATCAAATGGCTAATATGAGCTAAAACCATCATTAGGATAGCTATAAGCTAAAAGCATCAAATGGTTAATATGAGCTAAAAGCATCATAGCTATAAGCTAAAAACATCTAATGGCTAATATGAGCTAATAGCACCAANAGCATCATAGCTATAAGCTAAAAACATCTAATGGCTAATATGAGCTAATAGCACCAAAATGCCAGCTATAAGCTAAAAGCATCAAATGGCTAATAAGAACTAAAAGCATCATAGCTATAAGCTAAAAGCATCAAATGGTTAATGAGCTAAAAGCACCAAAATGCCAGCTAAATGCTAAAAGTATCAAATGGCTATTATGAGCTAAAACCATCATTAGGATAGCTATAAGCTAAAAGCATCAAATGGCTAATAAGAGCTAAAAGCACCAATAGGATAGCTATAAGCTAAAACAGAGCTAGCTGTTTGTTTGATCTTTAGCTTCAGAGGTTCGGCTGGAGGAGAAGGAGCCCCGCCCCCCACCTGTCTCAGACCCGCTCTCTCCTGTGCAGGTTCTGATGGACCTGGTGGGCACGGCGCTGGTTCTGCTGGTGGCGGTGGGCTTTAAGACGAAGCTGGCGGCGCTGACGCTGGTCGCCTGGCTGCTCTGCATCAACGTCACCTTCAACGCCTTCTGGAACGTCCCCGCCCACTCGCCCCTCCACGACTTCCTGAAGTACGACTTCTTCCAGACCACCTCGGTGATCGGGGGGCTGCTGCTGGTGGTGGCCCTGGGCCCCGGGGGGGTCTCCTTGGACGAGAAGAAGAAGGAGTGGTGAGGAAGAGGAGGAGGAGGAGGAGGAGTAATGGCTGCCTGGTTTTATGTTTCAAACACAAAGTTTAATGTTTCTGTTCCGTCTGAGCTGCAGCCATCATTATTTAATAATCAGGACTTTTATTTTGAAACAATCAGTTTTAGTTAGGTACGGTGGCTCTGAAAGGCCAAAAATCATCCAACTGTAGCAAAAATAATAATAATTTAAATCTAAAGCATCAACGGTTGACATGAGCTGAATTCATGTTTTTATTATTCATCATCATCGATTTTTAATTGGTCATTAAGCTCCATAGGCTCCGCCCTCCAGCCTCTGCAGGAGGCGGAGCTTATTCTGAAACAGACTCTGATCCAGAACTAGATCCTCTTTGATGGAAGATAAACTCCTCCTCTTTGCTAATGATGGTTGCAGCTGTGAGCTAAAGATTGTTCAACATACCTGCAGGTTAGCACAGTGTACGGCAGGCCATTTTAACATTTAATCAGAGTGCTTTAAATAAATGTAAAATGGCCTGCCATACGATGGAAACCCGTGCCAGTTGAGTTTGTTGTGTAGAAAGTGCCCGTAATGACTGTTTGTGACCAGCAGGTGGCGCTGTGTCCCTTCATTTAATTCAGTGTTTCTACAGTGAAATCATTTTGTATCAAAGTGTTTCTGTTGATGTTTAATAAATTGTTCAGCATTAAGAAACTCTTTAGGTTCTGTGGAATAAATGATCTAAAATCAATTTAAATAATCTTTACAAAACTGAACTTATTACAGTTTAATTAGTTAATAAAAAATTAACAATCAGTAAAGATTCTCAGCTGAAAACAGGTGAAATAAAACTGAACGTTTTTATTTTAGATGAGTTTATCTGATCTGAAATCAGCTGAACAGAAGAATAAAGACAGAAAATAAATAAATATATATTTTCTGTGAAGTTGTGTTGAAGCTGAAACTGAGAACAAGCAGAACAAAATGAACAAAAGTAGCTAAAAACTGAAGTACTGCTAAGCTGTAGCTAAGGGCTGAAATTAGCTAAACACATGCTAAAAGCAAAAGTTTTCAAAACAAACCAAAAGCTAAAAGTAGCATAATGTTAGCTGGATCAACACTGTAGCTAAAGATAGAACTGTAGCTAAAAGTGAAAATTAGCTGAATAAACGCTGTCAGGAGCCGAAACCTTCAGCTGAAAAGTTGTTTGTGTTTGTCCTGACTCTGTGAGGCGTTCAGGGGCTGCTCTTAGCTGCAGTTCAGTCTGTGAGGCGTTCAGGTGCTGCTCTCAGCTGCAGTTCAGTCTGTGAGGCGTTCAGGTGCTGTAGGTTCAGTCTGTGAGGCGTTCAGGTGCTGTAGGTTCAGTCTGTGAGGCGTTCAGGTGCTGTAGGTTCAGTCTGTGAAGGACCATGAATCAGAGCAAAGGCAGGTTACTGAGTTGCTGCTCAAAACAAACAAATGAATAAAAAACAGATTTTTTAAGCGTTTAGATCCTTTTGTTGTTGTTGTTGTTGTTGTTGTTGTTGTTGTTGTTGTTGTTGTTGTTGTTGTTGTTGTTGTTGTTGTTGTTGTTGTTGTTGAACAGAGCAGCTCTTCCACATCAGAACAGTTCATTTTACACACTCAGCTGATTTTAGCTGAAAGTGTAAAACGTGTTGTCACCAACAGGTGGCGCTGTGACTGTTTCTGTTTTCATTTCTGTCACATTAAAGTTATTTTTTTCTGCTTCAGATCTGAAAATATGTTTTTATTTTAAATATAAAAAGAACAACTTTATTTTCCAACATTCATGATTTGATTTAAAATCAGATTATTATTTCTTCAGTCTGTGTTTTAGGAGGAAATAATTGAACAGAAAACAGGTGTCAGAGTTTAGCTGCTGTTTGCTTCTTGTAGCTTCATCAAAACAACATTTCTCTACATTTATTGAATAATAGGGTCCAGTTGGTTCTGTTGGTCCAGTTGGTTCTGTTGGTTCTGTTGGTCCAGTTGGTTCTGTTGGTTCTGTTGGTTCTGTTGGTCCAGTTGGTTCTGTTGGTTCTGTTGGTCCAGTTGGTTCTGTTGGTCC